AGGGAGGGAGGGAGGGGGAGGGAGAGGGGAGAGGGGGAGGGGGAGGGAGAGGGAGAGAGAAAGAGAGAGCTTAAGAACATTGGAGACACCCAGAACATTGACAGGACTTTGGGCAGGACTTTGTGTTATCTAGGCTGCAGCAACAAAAGCTGTAGGGGCGTGTCCTGCTTAGATTTTTTTTTTTCCAGTTTGCTGTGAGGCTGGGTCCTCTGAGAAGAGGAAATGCCAATTGAGAAAATACCTCTACTACATTAGCATATAGGCAAACCTGTGGGGCATTTTCTTCGTTAATGATTGATTCGGGAGAGCATAGCCTTTAGTACAATTCTCAGTAGAGTCCTTGTTCCCCCTCAGGACCTAGTGGGTACAGTTTTTTCTTAATTTATACGAACTTTTATTTCTTTTTCTCTGTCTACCTTTGTATTGTTCTGCTCTTCCACACATCCACCAGAGTTACAGGTTAAGCCATACTTACAGCAGTATCGGGCTTCTGGGCCTCGCGTGCCCAAACTTCTCCACATTCCTCCCACAAAGCAGTTTGTTGTTGTTTTGGTTTTTTTCCAGATGTCCTAAAACTCCCTAGGTAGAGGTGGCTAGCTTCAAATTCAGAGCTCACCTGCCTTTGTCTTCCAAGTGCTGGGATCAAAAGCCTGCATCACTATGCTTGGTTCCACAAAGCAGTTTCAAGGCCTATGAGTAACATGGTCAAGTCAACCACAACAATGACCACACTCTTTCAGAATGAATTTCCTTTATTAGTTACTTTTCTCATTGTTATAATGGAATACTTGACAAGGAACAACTTAAAGGAAGATTTATTTTAGTTCATCATTTGAGAAGATATAGTCTATCATAGTGGGGACATGATAGAAGGGCTGGCTAGGTTTAGTTGTTTTTTTTTTAAAGATTTATTTATTTATTTTATTTATGAATATACTGTAGCTGTCTTCAGACACACCAGAAGAGGGCATCCAATCTCATTACGGATGGTTGTGAGCCACCATGTGGTTTCTGGGATTTGAACTCAGGACCTCTGGAAGAGCAGTCAGTGCTCTTAACCGCTGAGCCATCTCTCCAGCCCCTAGGTTTAGTTTTTTTGAGGGGGGATAGGAGGCAGGAACATTCGGTAGCTGCTTGTTACATGGTGTCTTAGTTAGGGTTTTACTGCTGTTAACAGACACCATGACCAAGGCAACTCGTATTTAGGACAACATTGAATTAGAGTTGACTTACAGGTTCAGAGATTCAGTCCATTATTATTAAGGCTGGAGCATGGCAGCATCCAGGTAGACATGGTGCAGAAAGAGCTGAGAGTTCTATATCTTCATCTGAAGGCTTCTAGGAAAAGACTGACTTTTCAACACTGGGCAGAACTTCAGAGCCCACCCCAACCCAACAGTGACACACTCCCTCCAACAAGGTCACACCTACGCCAACAAGGCCATACCTCCAAATACTGCCACTCCCTGGGCCAAGTGTATTCAAATGACCACACATGGCAACAACCAAGAAGTAGAGTGTTCAGGTTGGAAGCAAGGCTTCACTGTATCTGCTAGACTTACTTCTGAGCAACACACTTCCTCCAGCTAAAACAAACTTCCCAAAGATTCTATTGCCTCCCACAGATATGCCATTAGCTAGGGACCAAGTATTCAGAGTTTTTGGGGGGACATTTCACATTTAAACCACAGCAGTTTATTTATGTATACATATACACATATACATCATATACATATATGTATATGTATATGTATGCATATTCATATACATATACCAAATGCATGCTTAGTGCCCATGTAGTTCAGAAGAGGACATTGGATCCCCTGGAACTGGAATTACAGATGGTTGTAAGCCTCTATATGGTGCTGAGAACCAAACCTAAGTCCTCTCAAAGAGCAGCCAGTACTTTTAACCACAACTATCTCTCCAGGCCCAATACATAAAAAAAACAAAACAACAAGAAACCCCACAGTATTCCCCTGATACAAATCTCTAGATAACTGTTTTCTCTAGATCAAAGTTCAGGAGTACTTTGTAAATTAAAGAACAAAACTTTTATTTCCTTCTTAGGTCCAAGAATTGTACAAGCTTTTAAAACCCCAAAACAGATCATTGAAAATAAGCAGGACTTGAAATTGTGAAATCTCTTCAAATGCAGGTTTTATTATTGTTCACCACAGACTTCATGTTGTTTTTCTAATTGCTTTTGCCATTTCAAACTTTGGTTTAGAAAGGAAACAATACTCAACTGTTAAGTAAGAACTGAGCTACAAAAGCAAAAGACAGTGCTAAATATTCAGGCTTTTAATTTGAATGTGCAATAACACAGAACCACATGTTCTGTAGACATTAGAATGAGACTCAAGAAGTAGTTTATTTATAAATTATTTCAATTCTTACAGACGTTGGACAGATTCCTGACTCCTATGTGCAAGTTACATATGCAGCTGTCTTGCTATCTTTACATCGTTATTAATTACTTTTCTGTAATGCACACAGATACTAAGTCATTGTCCATTTTGAGCTGCTTTAAACTATTGCTACAGACTAGGCCACTTATAATAAATAAAAAACTTATTGGCTCAGGATCCTTAATGCTTGAAAATTCTAGAACAAAGGATAAGCCTCTTGGGAAGGCCTTCTTTCCATGGGAGAAAACAGGACAGAGCAGGGAAAGAAGAAAAAAGAGAGAAGATATTTCCTCCAAACCCACACTTTCACAATGAGTCACTTTTGGAATGCTCCATTGATAACATGCTGTCCCTGTGGCTAGCCACTATTCTCTGTTCCCATCCCTCAGTGATGTCACATGGGATTACATTTTCAATACCTGTTTGTTTTGTTTTGCTTTGCTTTGATTTTAGAGAAACACTCAAGTATAACACACAGTGACCTGTTTGGAAAAACCCATTGCTTTCCTTTTAATTAAATGTTTCCCTCTGAAGTGCTTTATTTTGGTCTCATAATATAATTTGTATCAAGGACGTTAATACCAACAAAACCATAAGCCCCTCTTTCTTGTTTTATTTCCTTTTGTTGAGCCAATTTAGAAAAAAAATTTATAATCTCACGGTTTGTCATTTATTTGCATAGTATGCCCCTTTACTCTACCAATGGGCTGAATGTTTAAATCTTTACCCTCTTGAATTTATTTTACCTTATGCTAAATAACTCTGTACTTTGTTTCCTCTAGTGATCAAGAAAAGTATCTTCAAATACAAACCAAAGTATCATAAAATTACAAAAAGGTACATAGAATCAACTGATCCTGATGTGTGATATTTAAGAAATGGATGATGCTGCTGCCGGACCAGTTGACCAACTACAGCATTGATGAGGTTACTTGTCTGTTCAGTAGAGCAAGTGCGTATCACTGACAATAAGACATGCCTCTGAGTATTCTTGTGTGAACGTCAGCTCGTGGTAGAGAGAGGACTGATGGTACATACGGAGATACGGGGATGGGGATGTCCACAGACGTGTGGGTACTGTTTATCTTAGGACTCACACTACCCCACTGTAGTGACTCACACCCTGCCTTTCTCCTGACACCATATGTTCTTCATAGTGAGTCACTAAACTGTGTCACTGGGACAGCTTATTTAAGTCAAGTTTGAAATGATAGAATTATGTTTTCCCACAAGTGCTAGGAAGACTCAGACAGAGCAGATGTGACTAGACCAATTAGGATGTGAAACCGGTGCTGTGTGAAAGGAGAGAAGGTTTGCACTCAGTCCCCTTGACAAGGACGGAAGAGGCCGTTGGACCTGACAACACACATATAGTTAAGGCACTGTCACCTACTTAGTGATATCTAACTACCGTATTTATTAGACAGAGTTCGGGAACCTGGAGGCCGGAGACCCTGTGGAAGAGTTAGGGGAAAGACAAAAGGCCCTCAAGGAGATGGCAACCCCACAGGAAGACCAAGTGTCAACTAACCTGGACCCCTAGGGTTGTGGAGGGGATATGGTGGGACGACCTTCTGCAAAGGGGAGGGGTGGGGGAGAAACTCTTCAAGGGGGGGACCAGAATGGAGGCAGCATTTGGGATATAAATAAATAAATAAATTTTAAAAAGATATGAAACAGGATCGATATCAGGTTATAATAGAAAAAAGATATCTCTCTCTCTCTCTCTCTCTCTGTGTGTGTGTGTGTGTGTGTGTGTGTGTGTGTGTGTGTGTGTGTGTATGTGTGTGTGTGTGTGTGTATACTACACAGAACAGACACAGAGGCTAATGGACATTGGAGTGAGTCTCATTTAGGTAGTGGTTCATTATTAATCTCATTACTTGAAATAGGGAATGCTGGGAGGAGTAGAATTGATGTCTTTTGAGAGTAAGAATAACCAATGCATTTAGGTTGTAATCGTATTAGTATTGTTTGATTCTGTGTGGCAGCAAAAGGCGAGAAACTTACACAACAGTAATTTATTTCTCACAGTTCTGAAAGCTAGGAAACCAAAGACTGTAATGCAGCCTGTATTTTTTGTTGGTTATTAATATGGTAACTTGAGCACTGCATCTTCCAGAGGGTGGAAACATCATATCTGTCTTAGTTAGGGCTTCTATTGCTGAAAAAAAAAAACCATGACCAAAATGCAAGTTCAGAAGGAAGGGGTTTATTTGACTTACACTTATATATTGCTGTTCATCATTGATGGAGTTCAGCACAGGAACTCAGAGAAAGAACCTGGAGGCAGGCTCTCGCTCGGCCTCTGGAGGACTGATGCAGAGGCCATGGAGGGGTGCTGCTTCCTGGCCTGCTTCCCATGGCTTACTCAACTGCTTTCTTATAGAACCCATCAATGACTAATTAAGAAAATGCCTTAAAGCTCAGATCCTGTGGAGGCATTTTCTCAGTTAAGGTTCCTTCCTTTCAGATAATTCTGGTTTGTGTGTCAAGATAACATAAGATTAGATATCACAACTGACTCCTTGACACACAAACAAGTCATTATTAAGCCACACTGTCACTTTCTTATCCAGCCCCAAGATCTCACATTAAAAACATAAATAAGCATAAATTTAAAAATAAACATAAACTATCCTACAGTCTTTTACAATTTCAAATGCATTAAAATTTTAGTCTCTTAGTCTCTTTAAAATATCCAAAATCTCTCTACTTTAGCCTCAGGGAGACATTTTGGACAAGGGTGAAAAGCAGCCACATTCTTCACCAAAACATCACAAGAACAGTTCCAAGGCCACAGACATCTGTTGTCCCCTGAAACACCCTGAGCCAGGCCCCCACACCTCCAATCATCCTCAGCACCATTGACTTCCATTGTCCTACTATTATGGCCCATTAAATTCTGCTTAAAGCATTCAGCTGCTTTTCTATTCCAAAGTCCACATTTCTCCAAACAAAAACATGGTCGGGCCTGTCACAGCAATACCCTAGTCCCTAGTACCAACTTTTGTTTTAGTTGGGATTTCTATTGCTATGAAGAGACACTGTGACCACAGCAACTCTTAGAAAGGAAAACATTTAATTGGGGCTGACTTACAGTTTCAGAGGTTTAGTCCATTTCTCTCATGGTGGAAATCATGGTGGCAGGCAGACATGGTGCTGGAGAAGGAGCAGAGATTCTATTCCATTTTTTTCCATCTATTCTTCAGGCAGCAGGACCAATGCCATACCTACTCCAATAAGGCCACATCTCCTAATAGTTCCACTCTCTGTGAGCCTATGGGAGCCACTGTCTTTCAAACACCACAATGTCCTTATATGGCAGAAGGCAGGAATGCAAAAGAGAGGTAACATTTTCCATCAGACCCCTTTATAAAGAGCAATGAACCCATCCAAGAGTGCGGAGTCTTCATGACACAATCACTTCTTACAAGTCCCATCTCATTCCTTTCAAGGCAGAGAGTCACGGCGGCTCAAGGTGCTGAGAATAAGTGACTCTTGAGTGTTCAGCTCTAATCAGGACACTCATCCCACCCCCTCAGGCCTCATGGATGACTGAGAAAAGGCAGACAGAAGGAATGAAAGACTTGGAGACAGGACATTTTCTGGGCACAGCATAGCCAATGAAGTGGAGACAGGACATGTTTTCTGGACACAGCATAGCCAATGAAGTCATGATCTCACAGTCTGCAGTGATTACACTGTGCCTACCCAAAACTGAACCTATCAACAGTCAATCATGGATTGGGGAAGGGCTCATGGGGCCCTACTCTCCTAATGAACTACTGGCTGTCTCATCAGATTCTGCGCCAGGGATAGTCACTGTCTCTAGTTATGTACCTACTGAGAAGCTCACCAGGCCCCAGTGGATACTTCCAAACCCATGGTCTTATATACAATTCTGGTTAAACCCAGTGAGTCTCAAAATAGAACAAATCTAGATAGACCAATCACCAACAAGCAAATCAAAACAAGTAAATAACCACAAAGACATGAATGTGCGTAAGGGATGTGTGGGGTGAGTAATAGGGTGTGGAAAAGACTAGAAGGTGGAGAGTTACAATAATCCAAATGAACTTAATGCAGATATAAAAGTGTTGAAGAGGAAATTTTAAAAAGTGTTGGTGGGATTGCAAGCTGGTACAACTACTCTGGAAATCAGTCTGGCAGTTCCTCAGAAAATTGGACATAGCATCACCTGAGGATCCAGCTATACCACTCCTGGGCATATACCAAAAAAATGCTCTAACATATAACAAGGACACATGCTCCACTATGTTCATAGCAGCCTTATTTATAATAGCCAGAAGTTGGAAAGAACCCAGATGTCCTTCAACAGAGGAATGGATACAGAAAATATCCACATTTACACATTTACACACAATGGAGTATTACTCAGCTTTTAAAAACAATGAATTCATGAAATTCTTAGGCAAATGGATAGAACTAGAAAATATTATCCTGAGTGAGGTAACCCAATCACAAAAGAACACACATGGTATGCACTCACTGATAAGTGGATATTAGCCCAAAAGCTCACAAGACCTAAGATGCAACTCACAGACTACATGAAGCTCATGAAGAAGGAAGACCAAAAGTGTGGGTTCTTAGGTCCTTCTTAGAAGGAGTAACAAAATACTCAAGGGAGCAAATGTGGAGACAAAGTGTGGGACAGAAACTGAAGGAGGGGCCATCTGGAGACCATTCCACCTGGGTATCCATCTCATGTGTAGTCACCAAAGGCAGATGCTGATATGGATGCCAGGAAGTACATGCTGATAGGAGCCTGATATAGCTGTCTCCTTAGAAGTCTGCCAGAGCCTGACATATACAGAGGCGGATGCTCACAGCTAACCATTGATCATGGGGTTCCCAACGGAGAAGTTAGAGAGAAGACTGAAGGAGCTGAATGGGTTTGCGGCCCCAAGGGGAGAGCAACAATACCAACCAACCAGAGCTCCCAGGGTCTAAACCACCAGCCTGGGAGCACATAGGGAGGGACCTATAGCTTCAGTTGTATAGGTAGGAGAGGATGGCCTTGTCGGGCATAGGTGGGAGAGGAAGTCTTTGGTCCTATGAAGGCTGGATGCCCCAGTGTTGGTTATATAAACCTTTATGCAAGTCATTCTAAATAGATTTCCTGTGTGTATCAATATCATTGATGATTGAATATTTATGTTCAGGATCGATCAATGCCTTAAATGCTTTATGTACATGTAAATTTATGTCTTGATTCAGTGATCCCCTATGAAATGATGAGAGCACATGGCTAATGTCTAATATGTGCTGTACATGCCTGACTTGCAACCCCTGCATGAGAGGGTCACATGAGGCATCTTATGCTGTGGACCTCAGACCTCTAGTGACATAGTCATTGTCTGTGACTTATACTCCTGAAACCTTGTCATCATTGGTCATGGACTTCAATTTTGTCTCTTCTCCCACTCACACACACTTGTGACCCTTACATTGAGAAGATGAACAGATGTACAAATATGCATGTACAGAATCTATAGGTGTACTGATGCAGTCTAGTTTGTAAAACTTCAGTGGTGGGGAGATTGTAAGAAGTGCAACAATTCTCTGATGGATCCCATTAGCTTCATAAATACTGTAAGATAGTATGGATCCACTGGTTGCGGGTCTCACTTCCATGCAGGAGATCTGAGTTCACACACTTATTTTAAATGGATAGCATGTATTGGAATGACTACCCAGCTTAGAGCTGATGGGACAGAAGGAGGAGCTGGCATGATCATGTATTTTTTTTTATCTTTGAGCCTTCATAGACTCCAGAGCCCACCACAGTACTTGCTATAAGAAACGCTCAGTGAATATCTAGTTCCAGCAATCACGATTAGCAAGTAATACAGCTGAATTTTAAAGAAATATATGTGAACACTAAATAGTCAAAATATTTTACAGTATACTTTTTGAAAATTAGCATTTTTGTCATATAATTCTACTATTGTGCAAGGAATTTTTGTTTGGTTGTTGTTTTCGAGATGGGGTTTTTCTGTGTAGGCCTGGCTCTTCTGAATTTGCTCTGTATCCAGGCTGGCCTCGAACTCAGAGATCTGTCTGCCTCTGTCTCCTGAGTGCTGGATTAAAGGCATTTGCTATCACTGCCCCCAACCCCACCTGTTTGTTTGTTTATGAATGATAGGGTTTCACTATGTAACTACCACTCTGTTTGCATTTATTTATTTATTTATTAATATAAATGAATGACAGGGTTTTACTACATAACCACTGCTCTGCTTGCTTGCTTGTTTATTTATTTATATAAATGAATGAATGACAGGGTTTCATTACATAGCGCAGGCTGGCTTCAAACTCCTGGATCCTCCTGCCTCAGCCTACCAAGGCCCTTACTGCTCTCCTTTTACAAAAGCTCGCTAACTTGCCAAGGTTACTGTGCTAGTTAGAGTGGAGATTCAATCGTACACAAGCTAGTCAGTACTGCAGTAAAAGAAACCCACAAGCATACCTCAAATGTTAAAAAGCCAGGCCTGGCAGGCAGCTAATTGGTTAACGGGAAAAAGAAAAACTTTTTTTATGAACAGGAAAACAAAACAAAACAACAACAAAAGAAACCGAGCCTAATTAATCCTCTATAAAAGAGTTAGGAACTAAGAAGATAGCCAGAAAGCGGCTCCCCGCCCACAACCACCTCTGCACCCTTTATTTGGTCCCCTCATGTGACGTCATATCTCTGGCGTCCTGGAGGCGGGACTTCCTGTCCGGGCTTATCCCGTTTCAGGAGCGCCGGAAATCCCTTCTGAGGGACGTGAAAGTCTCCGGGTCAGAATCTTTGCGGGACCGGTGTTTCCCGGTTTGGCAGGAGAATTTGCATTTTGGAGGGCGCGGAGTCTGTCGGGGTGGTGCGAAACAGGAGCTGGGGCATGGACAGCCGCCTACAGGAGATCCGGGAGCGACAGAAGTTACGGCGACAGCTCCTAGCTCAGCAGGTGTGCGGCCGGGTGGGAGGGAGCACTCATGCGCGTGCGCCCCTCTCTCTCTCTCTCTCTCTCTCTCTCTCTCTCTCTCTCTCTCCCCCCCCACCTCCCTCCCTCTCTCCCTCCCTCCTCCCTCCTTCCCCCCTCCCATCCTTTTTTGTGAATTCGCACGCCAGCCCCTGTCAAGGTCTTTGTCCCGGGACTTTAATTCCCCAGTCTCCTCACGTGCCTGTCAAAGTCATTATGTAGAAGACCAACCGCTGCCAGTCTTGGGCCTCCTGGACCCACCGTTGCGGGCATGGACTTGAGTGGTGGGGATAGATTTGGTAATTGTCGGTGAGGGCTAGTAGTTGCTACAAGGACAAGCGGCAGTTTTAGCCCCTACATTTCACCTTCACTGTTTAAACAGTGTTTCGCGTCTTGCCTTTATTCCAAGACAGCTTCAAATTCTTTATTTTTTTTAAGATTAGTTTTTATTTTTAATTATGTGATTTTGTCCCTGTGTGCATATGTACACGTGAGTACAAATGCCAGAGATGCCGGATCTCCCTGGAGCTGGAGCTACAGTTGGTTGTGAGCTTCTCTGTGGGTGCTGGGACTTGAACTCAGGTCCTTTGGAAGAGCAGTGCATGTTCTTAATCGCCGAGCCACCTCTCTAGTCCAGCTTCACATTCTTGAGATTGGTTTTGGAGGAAGTTTGATTATTTTCTTGAGATCCTGTCGAAAGACTCATTGGAAGCAACCTAAGAATAACTTTTAGATTCTGCACTTAAAACCCAGACTCCCTTCAACGAAACATTTGAACACTTACTTCGTAATTATTAGAGACAGGAGGTGTTACACTCACTTGTTAAATTAGGAATAGGTTTCCAAGATTGTTACCTTTTCCCTGTCCTCACCAGAGAATACACTAGGATTTGTGTCTCCAAAGATTACTTTCCAAACCTTACACTTTCACTGAAGCTAGTGGATGGGTATGTGAGTCCTTGCGTTTGGTAGAACACACATGCAGGGAGTACATACTACAAGCTGTTACTGAACGTCTGAGGCTGTTTTCATTACACCACACAGACCAATATAAGTGATGGAGGGAAATGCTCAAAGCTTTAGTGAGTAAGTTTTAGATTTCCAATGAGTCTTTTGACAGGATCTCAAGAAAATAATACAAACTTCCTTCAAAACTAATCCAGAATGTGAAGCTGGCCTAGAGGGGTGGCTCAGCGATTAAGGTGGCTTGCTGTCATGTTCCATTGCTAAATCTTGGGTTCCTCAAAGAACTTTGTGAAGGAGTGACTTGTATTCTGAGATGAGAATTACAAATAGAGAGTCATGGGGAGAAAATTAGAAAATGTTCTAACTATAGGTAGTGGGTGTTGTGTCCTCTGATGGAAAAGAAGTGGAGAGGATTTTTTATGGAGGAGTTGAAACTGATGGCATTTCATGTATTGGAAAAGAGTTTTTATCGGAGGAATGAGGGCAGTCATGCAAAGTGGTGGAGAATATTTTGTTGTTCAATGTCAAAGCTGCTAATTTGCAGCACTGATATTTTTGAATACCTTCTTGCTCTGGAGCTAAGAGCAGACTTTCTTATGCCGGTCTTGTGCCCAATACTGAAGAGTTCCTCTGCTATTCTGTGTTCTTAGTCAGACTTTGAAGGTTTTCTGTGAATTGGCTCTATTCAGCTCAGCCTTTGTCTACATTTGTTGCATGCTGCAGAATTTCTCCAGTGCCCACTTAAAGTTGACATTATTATTTTTAAGCTATTAGTAAATTTTATTAAAAATTTAGCTCTAATGAAACTGAATGCATTTCTGTGAGAGCATGAGACAAATGCAATACATAAAGTGGTTCATATGAAGCGCTTTGCTGTTTGTGTTATTGCTACTAACGCCAGCTTGTGTTTCATTCAAAGTTGGCTAAAGGGAATCATGTTAATTTCAAATATAACCAAATGCATAAAATATTCTCCAGCTGACAGTCACTCTTAATTAAAATGATGTTCCTACCGTTCACTTACAGTTTATCTTGCAAGCCTATTGATAGTGTGCTGGGGTGGTGTTGCTTTTATAAAATACTTGATATATTAAAGTTAGCAACACATTTTGGGTGTGTGAACAGTGCGTTGTGATCTAACTTTGGGTTCTTGCTTCCTAGTTGGGAGCTGAAAGTGCGGATAGCATTGGTGCTGTGTTAAATAGCAAAGATGAGCAGAGGGAGATCGCCGAGACGAGAGAAACCTGCAGGTGTGTTGAGTAACCTTTTTAGTGATGTATTTATGGTGGGAAAGGCTTTTTTGTTAAATTTTCTGTCGTAACTTATTTATGGGATTATTCCGGGGAATGAGACAGTTGTGCTATGTAGCCCACGTTGGCCTCAAACTTGCAGCACCTCTGCCTGAACCTCTTGAGAACTGGAATCTCCCATAAAGGGTTGATTTTTAAAAAATAAACAATTAACTATAGGTTTGAGTATGTTTTTAAGAAAACTGTGAAAATGGAGATTTTTGGAAACAGTTTTAAATGTCAGGTTGAAATTATGAAATATTTTTTGAAAACTCTGGGTTCCTATTTATAAAGTAGGTGTAAGTGAAATGTTACACTAAGAATTGGCTTACATTCCATAAAGTCAAATTATAATTCATGAAAATATACTTCAAAAGTGGTATTGATCTGATAATTCAGAAAACATCTCATAATTTTTTGTTTTCTAGATTATCAGTTGTATCAGTTTGGCTTACAGAGCATAATATAAAATATACGTAAACTAGTACAAATGGTACATAGTTTAAAAGTTTCTTTTCATAATACAGTCTTTATACTAGCTTATTTTTTTCATTTGGTTGCTTTCTTTTAAATAAAGCTACAAATTACTGCCTTTGACTTTAAAAAATAGATATTTAATCAGGAAGCATTTGACTTTGTTGCTCTAACTTGTTAATAATACAAGCAGACCCGTGTGCACCTTGTATGCTCCTCTGAGATAGCTGCGGTTTAATTCTCAGGGCTTCCTATGATACGTCTGCCCCCATTTCCAAACGGAAGTGTCTGGACGAAGGAGAGACCGATGAAGACAAAGTAGAAGAATATAAGGCAAGTGGGAAGTGAGATGGTCTTATGTACGGTTGAGAAAAAATGAACCCCTCTAGTAGATTCGTCTCATTTAGAGGCTGAACTTTAAGATGTGCTAAATCCTTATGAGTAACATTTATGTTTTCAGTTAAAGACTTATATCAGTTTGCTCATTTTATGTAAGCATATGTGGCTTACATATGATGATATAAAACACAATATAGCTATTGGTAAATATTGGCAATAATACTCTTTTAGAACAGCAAAAAAGATAAACATAAACTTTCCGTGGTATAATTGTAGTAGATTTTCGGGGCTGCAGCAGTCACTTTTTAGTGACAGTGTTCCATATTAACAGCATTAGATAGTATAGTTAAAGTGTTTTCACAAC